GCAGGTCTTCGTCTGTCTCCTCCGTCATTGTTGTGCTTCAGAAAATGTAATAATGGACAGCAGAAGACCAGTGGATAGTCTTTTCCACCAACAATGTTCCTCTTTGCAGCATCTCGTAAATAATTTGAAGGAAAGAAGGAAAGGGGAGCCCAACCATGTATACTGCCTTGTGCTAAGAGGGCATTATTTCAATGCAGTCCATGTGTCCTTACTATCAATTCTGGCCAAGAATTGATAGGTAATCTGTGAAAAGACTGAGCTCCTCCACCTTCTTCGAGCACTCGTGTATAATCACCCTCGTGAGTATACACGAGGGTGATTGACAGTGCTAGGACCCTTACCCCTGGCTTCAATTGGTTATTAACGATTGAACTATGTATTTTTATAGATTATTGCAGGAGAAATCAAAGGAGCTCAAATTTTTCCCCCCACAGATTATCTGTCTCATATTACACAGTCACCACATAGTGACGTTTTTAGCAAATTTGAGAAAAACTTTTTTTTTTTTTTTGTATAAAAGTTACACACACTCCCTTTAAATCTCTCCTTGTAATTAGGAATGAACAGGCAGCTTCCTCTAATAGGTCTACTTTGGTGCTCCATTAGCGATGGGGCCGCTGTGCGGCTTGCTCCATAACCACTGGAGCTGCCGGCCCAGTTTTCCACTAACTTTGCCCAGCACACAGGCTGAGCCTTTGCATTTTAAACGGCATGGAAATGCGCGGCTCGCCCACGAAAACCAAGCCCCTGCACAGCCCGGACCCTGGAACAGTGAAGGTGACATCCTTGGCTCCCCCTGAAAGGACCACACTCACCACCTCCGATCGCTGGCCGACAGACGGAGGATGGCCGACCGCCGCTGCGGTGTGGTCCTCCGAGAAACGCTGCAGGTCTCTGAGCTGAAAGCACCTCCTTGTCGCCGAGAGGAGCTTCCCGTCTGCAGAGTTTACCGCAAGGCTCGGAAGATGTTGGGACAGTTCTCTGCCAGAAAAGGATCTGCTGTTGTAGAGCATAAACGTCCGTGAGAGCAACTCGTTAACCCTCCAAAGTGCAGTGGAGAGTCTAACGGCAAAATCAACAGACAGGATGTGGAAGATGTTTTCTTTAAAAACTTCTAACCTGATGGGCATGGTGGAAAAAAAAATCTGTGGAAGTGAGTCCTGTCTTAGAGTTTTGACATTAGCAGAAACCTATACAAAAAAAGGACAATTATGTGGAGGGTTCTGGAAAAGGCTCACTTTAGAGCCGAGAGGTTCAGTTCTCACTCCCAGCACTTAGTACAATGGACCGCTATGTGAATAAGAGTTTAAGGGAAAGTATTCACATCCTTTGAGGTTTTTGTTTTTTTGTCACTCTACCTCATTGTCTTTATTATCTTTCATTGGGACTTTAGTAGACCTATTTCACCATTTGGAGGTTTTCACCATGTTGTGTGAATAAAAGTCACTCAATCAAATCTAGCCAATAAAACACCCAACCAGATCTCACTGCAACCGCAACCACAGGTCTTTTGAGGTATGTCTCACTCTCTACCAGCTTTGACATGTTTGCCCTTTGTTCTTTTCGAAAAAGCTCAAGCTCGGTCAGAAAGCATACGGAAAGAACCTCTTTGAGTCTCACCACAAATGCATCATCGGTCCACTCTAACAAATAAATATGCTTTGATCCTTCCTGATGTAGCTGTGGCTGGACGGTGGACCTCCACCCCCGGTCTCAAGTCTTCTCTCCCTATCGACCCTGACCAGCTTCCTTTATTTCTACTGGGGAAAAGTTTACACTTTGGTCTCATCTGACCAGATGAGTTTTGTCCATGGTATTGTTGTGTGGCATCCTGTGGTTTTCGACGCAATCGCTGTCCACATCTGTTGACAGATTCTCCCACCCAAGTTGTTGATCTCTGCAGCTCCTCAAGAGTCACTACCAGGACCGTCTTTGCTGTTTCTCTGATCATTTCTCTATTTGTCTGATCTGTAAGCATATGTTTTGGAGAGACCTAGGAAGTCTTGGTAGGTTAATAGTTGTGCCATCTCTGTGAGATTTTCCAAGCTGGGGATGTTGCTTTATAACCTAATTCTTGTGTAAGCTCCTCGCCACTTTATCCTTTGTCCTGTTTGAGACTCCAGCAAAGCAAGTAAAATTTTTATTTCCATTACAACTTTCACAGACATATAAATCACAAAGCAAAACAATTAAAACACACAAAAAGAGACATTAGGCAAAAGCCAACAACATTTGTCTCAAAGACATCAGAGTCCTGTGTGAAGCCGGAGAACCCAAAAGGTCCAGAATGGTCCCGATTAAACTGCTGCTGAAGTGTAAGAGGTGCGAAATGAGATCATGACTAATCATCTCTTGCTCAGTTCGTGACACACAAGATCTCAACTTAGAGATGCTCCGTAAATGATAAAGACACCTCTAACAAGCATTTTACGGTGACTGTCAAAAGATAATGGACTGTCATAGACGGTGCCCAGATTTGTGAGACCAGTTTTCAGACTAGGAGCTAAAGTCCTGATGTAAAGACTTTTTTCATTGGAGGAAATAAAAAGTTTCTGTTTCGTTCGCATTTAACTGGATTGTTTGGCATGATGTGATGTCGGACAGTCAGCTGAATGGTTGAAAAGATTAATACAATCGTATGTCAGTGCAGCGTTTTTTTAGGCTACACCCCACAAGATGTAAATTAAAACAGGACAAGGCCCAACACTGAACCTTGAGGTACCCCACAAGACAGTGGTGCACTATGTGAGTGAACCTGGTTCATAAGAACAGAAAAAGACCTGATAGGTAAGAAGTGAACCAGTTTAACACAATGTCAGACATGAAAAACAAATCTCTCTGTCTGTCACTAACCAGGTAACTTTGAAGGTATTTTGTTCCGCTAGATATTATTTAGGGATACCTGAACGTAATTGCAAGTTCAACTTTTTCTTATTTTCTTAAGTTGTTTTTATGTGTTTATGTATTTTGCCAGGATAAGTTAAGTCACCGAGGCTAAAATTAGAGCCCTGCTGTGAGCGTGCTCCTTGCTTGCGTATTAGCAGACGTTTAGTGTGGAAAACACATCCACTCCATTAATGACCCAAGAAGTCAGATGGCTCTCGTTGTTAATGTGGTTGGAATTTCTAGACTCCAAACTTTAAACCCTCCACGCGATCAAGGGGATATCCTCTGTCAAGAACTTTGACCTCAAAACACTGGAGTCAGCGCTTGCCCACTGAAGTGAGAAACCCACAAGCAGTCCACAGTCAGACATATTAGCTGTATGTGTTCTGGCTGTAAGATCCCACTTATTGTGATGAATGGCGTGAGTCACGGCGCTCTGTTTAAGACTTCATGCCCGGTTGCGAGTGCAGAGCCAGAGAAGCCATCACCCTGACTACTTGACTGTTTTTGTACCATGGCTTAAACAGAGTAAAAACAAATGGGCCTCCCGACCAAGACCAAGCTGCCTGAGAGGGGTATGAACTCGAGGGGCCGCGGAGGACCACGGAGGGGACCACAGGAATACTTTACATCCAGTACAGAGGAGCAATAGGATTCCAAATATAGGCCACGCTAGAAGAAAAATAGCATTTAATCTCTTCTTAAAGAAGTATATTTTTGCTGCCGCATTCCACATTAGCGGCACATGTGACTGACTATTGAACGGGGTAGGAATGTGGAGTGGTTAGCGCGGGACGTTGATCAAATATTCCAACAGACTGCTACTTTAATTCCATTAAAATTGCTGACAGATGCTTGGATTTTATGCAGTAGGAACGCTATGAAATCAGAAAAGAAAAATATCCACAGGGGACTGAAAAGGCATATTTCCTATTTGATTAAGTTGTGCAGCAAAAACACTGGGGAAGGCGAAACATTTGGAAATGTCAAGCATCGAACGTCCTTGCATTGATGGAAGCCAAATTAAGTGTTGATAAGGTTCAGGGAAGAGTCGGGAATTATCTCTTTTCGGGAACAGGAAGACCTCTAACCACACCAATGTGTGCAACGTGTTGCATTTGTGAGTTTATTTGTGTGCAATTTACATCAGATTTAGTGACTAAATCTGGAAGTCATTTCATTGTTCTTGCTTTTAAAACGCATTCCCCTTACAACAGTGTTTCGCATTTCGGCAAAGCTTGACGACAGAGTACTTTTAAAGTACCTTGGGATGCTTTAAAAGGCTATCCTTGTCTAATCCAAGCAAAAACTCCAGTACAAAGTCAATCTTGTTCCCAGAGCTCAGAGGAGTTCAGCAGGCCTGCACACCGTCTCTCTCACTCTGGGACTTAGAGTAGAGCTGCCACAGTTGAGGTGGTTCAGACATCTGACCAGGACGCTGTCCACACTCTGGAGGAGACCCGAGGACCGACGGAGAAGTCTCTTTGAGGACATTACATCTCTTCCAGGGTGGGAAAGCCTTTCGGAATGAGTGTTTTACTCCTAGACCCAACACCCTTGTGATGACATGGATCCTGTACAGGATGAGCAGACGGAGCCCACCAACAGGTAGATGAGGTTCCCCACATTCGGGCAAGCATGACTACCAAACAACCGTGATAACTGAAAGGAAATACCGCCATCTGGTGGTCGAGAAGTTGTATTACAAACGCAAACGTGGTCATCGCCCATCGTATTAATTACGATAAAAATGGGAAAGCATTGGAATATTCCCAGTAAATATTTGAATGCATGCATTGGTTTAATTATAAATATACTTTTTTATGTATATTCTTCTATAATTTTATGTAGATTTCAGTAAACCAATCGTTATTTTATATGCAGTAGATTATGTTGGTTTTAATAAAAACAAAAGAATACATTGATCATTGAAATTGAATCCCGACAAAGCCAAACAAGGGGCAAAAGGATACGTTTGCCCGGGACATTTAGGTGGAGATTGAACTGCAGTACCATATTCTGCCACAAGATGGAAGTAACGGTTCGGTAATCCTTCATACTTAAGGTTCAACTGTAAACACCAGTTACTTCCTTTTTCTTCGGAAAACAACGTAAAAAACAACAAAACTGTCTTCTATCAATTGGCTGGTAATTATGTGTCGGCTAAAAAAACGTACAAGATTAAAATTTGATTGTTTTTTATTTATTTATTTCTTGTTAAATAACTTTCATTTTCTGAAGAAGTTTGCATAAAACCTCGGCGTCGCTTGGTAATGACGTGCTTTTGACGCTATGGCCGCTCACGCTAGCGAGCTGGAGATTGCGAAGAAGAATTTGACGAACGCCATCGGCGATAACGTGAAGCAGTAAGATGAAAGGGCTGCTAATGAGATTCCTCTGCGTGTGGTTTAACGTGCACCCCATTCCCATGTCGCAGAAAAATCCTACAGCTTATTTGAGGCATCTGTTCGTATTAGCGCCTGGCTAGCACGTAGCCATTAGCATTAGCTAGCTAATGTTTTTAGCGGTATACTGAATATCCGTTTTGGCTTTTTTTTGAAAATTTTCGTGCTGCGAATGATAGACGTAGCTCTTTCTGTTTTATTTTAGTTAAAGAGTGTCATTAAGTTGTATGACGTTAAACGAAAAAAAGTTAATTGTAGCTATTTTTGAAGCTTTCTCCGTCCTAATCTGTGTTGTCCCCGCAGTTATTGGGCTAACCTAAAGCTGTGGTTCAAACAGAAGATTAGCAAAGAAGAGTTTGACGTCGAGGCACGTCGCCTGCTGCCTCAGGAGAATGGTTGGTGTGCAGAAGAAGCTGCTGTCCTTTCCAGCGTTTTCTGTAAAGCAATGATGCTTATCACACGTGTCCTGCTTTCTGTCCCAGTCCACTTTCACAACGACTTCCTGTTGGCCATTCTCACGCGATGTCAGATCATTGTTTCCACACCAGGTGAGTTTGATGCATCCGGATTAGTGCAAGCGGTAAAGCGTTTAACGACACCTACAGTAGACACAAGATATTTACAGAAACTGAATAACAAGACACATAATACACATTTTTTTCTCTCTCATTGCCTCAAGTTAAACCTGACCAAATGTCTCTTGTCTTAGGTCAGTCACTATTACCTAAGACAAAATGGAAAACTTAAAAAAAGTAAATAATTCAAAGGTTTACAGGCATTACTGCCCTTTAAACTGCATGACTTGGGTCAAACCTTTTGTGGCATGTAGGAAGCAGAAAAGCTTCGCTACAGTAAACGAAGTGTTCATCAAAGCTCTCATAGCGCACATCTTCGTCATCATCAGATTCGTTACTGTAAAATTCATCATCGTCTTATTTTTTCAACACAGGATAAAAGGCATTGAAAGCACTTTGGTTCAAGCTGTCAAATGCAAAATATTTCCCAGTTTCATAATGTTTGGACAGTCATTTCCATCAGAAAACTTCCAGAACTGTTCAGAAAATGATTAGGGGTTGTAATAAACTGATTAGAAATTATCACCAAACATCGGAAAACCTCCGAACACATTAAGAAATTTGCCAGGACACACAATTCTAAAAATTTGGGCTGTTATTTGATATTTATATGTCTACTGTTCAACCATTTACTGACATTATTAATATTGCACAAAAGAAAATAAAAAAATCTCTTTGCTCTCGACACTGTGTGAAATAGAAACAAAACGTTTTGGTTGAATGAAAGCAGTTTTACATCTTATTCTTTATGGGAGAGGTGTGTGAATAACTTTGAGCTTAACGGTATGCACACAAAATGAAAGAAATAAGTCAAAGTGGTTAAATCAAGGAACAAATGATTTATTTCTGGTTTAAGAAAGAAAACTGTATTTGGGATAATCAATTAAGATCAAGTGCTTAGTTTGCTATTATCCTCAGTGTACACAGAGAACATGGACTAAATCCGGGGTGTGTTTAACCAGGAAGTTAACTGGGTAACTGATTTCCAAAGGATGCTGTCCTTTTTTAAGAGCGCTTTTCGACACATCCCGAAAGAAAACAACAAGGTTTTATGAAGTCAATTATTGTTGCCCTTGAATCTGCTGGTGCTTTAATTCCTGGTGGTGTTCCGCTTTAGAAATGACACCTTTACAAGGCAGTAAGTAGCTTTGCTTTCTTTGTTAACCCGTTCAACGTGAGTCGTGTTCTTTTCAGTTTCTATAAATAATCAAACTCTCCACTGATCTCAGGATTATGGCTTCCCCACTTAGATTTAGGATTGTGTTTAGTCTTCTAAATTCCCACTTTATCCCTGTAAACGTAACCTTAAACCTGTGTGGCGCCTGAATAAGTTTTCTAATCTGTCTCGGTTTTGGTTAGTCAGAGGAGAGAACTAGGAAATACCCTCCATACATCAAACCTGCGTTGCCGTCCGGACACCCCCGCTCGTTCCGCCGCTGCACACAAAGGCATTTTGTCTCTGCGTCTGAAGTTGCTGTCGATTTAACACTACTCGCATATTCGGGTTTCGGGTGAATTTTCAGAACTAACCCACAATGCGCTTTAAGGTTTACAGATTACTTTCACCTAAACCTTTGAATGCACGTGTTTTGTACAAGTCTTTGCTCTCTAAAAAAGGAGCAAAATTCTGTTTTGGTATCTGTTACATAAATAGGCCAATATACATGGATTGTATTTGGACATGAAGAGACCAAGACGCTCACCAGGACCTTACCGTTGCAAAGTCACGAACAGGATGTTGTCCAACAGAAGCGGCCACAGAGCTTCGTCACCAGGTTGCAACATGGTTGCAAAGAGACTGAAAGAGTCACTTTTACGTGATGCATAATTCTCCACTGGTCTTGAGCAATGGCTGAAACGTATCGTAACTATAAAAGAAGTCTTTTCCACTGAAGCGCATCACGTCCCAATCCCACCACTTTTAGCTTTGACTACGCATCCAAACAGATTTTTCTACAGAGGTTGCAGTCAATGCCCCACAAAACGCCGTTTCTATTAGTTGTGCTTTTTTAAAATTTTTATTCTTTTTGTTTAGCTTCCTTTGTCGGACGATTTTTGTGACAATCCCACTGCTGTCTCCGGTTGATGAATAAGCTTTAAAATCTATTCAGAAACCATGGCGGCCATCAACACTTCCATAAACCGAGCGCCGGAGGGTGATGTCAACGTTCTTCGGCTCGTTTTGGAAACTTCTGATTGCAGTCGCATCGATCAGTGGTATGAACGACCACGCAAAAAAAAACCGAAATCCAATTTCTTTTATATGTAAAAACAAAAATCTGAAAATGCGTTTGCGTAGTCCGAGTCGACTTGTGACCAACATGAGATGTTGCTGTCAAGACCAAGAGCTCATGACACGATATGAACGCCATGGAGACACTTGGAGATTTTTTTTCTGTTTTCCACGGATTTCACCCCAAAAAACAAATATCTCTTAACATTTTGTGAGAAATGTATGGATGTGCCAAGTATGTTTTTTTTTTTTTTTTTGTTTCTGCTGTTTTTTTTGCGGTACTTTTAAGTTTGTTGCAGATAATAAAATAATATTCAAGTTCAGTTTATGCTGCAGATGTGTGTCACAACAAGACTCTTTCCATTACTTTGATCATGAGTCATAACCCGTTTTAAGAGCCTATTCTCTCACTTGCCCACTAGTTATTAATTATTTATGCTTCTTGTGTTTCCTTCTCTATCCTCTAGAGGGCCCAGGCTCCTTGCAGTGGCAAAGCTGTGCCTCAAAGTCTGACAAGTCAAAAGGAAAGAAGAAATGTTCCTCCAGGCAGAAATTTGATGTAAATCCTCTTTCTTATTTTATTAGTTTTTTAGTGGAATTTTTTTTCCCTCTAAATTCACTTCAGAGGAAGTCACAGTTCAGATAAGCCAGTTGTTTGGGTCATGAGCGGTGGTCCTTAATGTCTGGGACAGGTAATGAATGATTCGCTGCACGTTCAGTAGTTGTCTCACCGTCTCGTTGCGATGTTGCGTTCGGTGCCACACAGCACCGCTTCCAGCCACAGAACCCTCTGTTCGGCGCACAGCCGTTCAGCCCGCGGGAGGCGGGCGGCGAGGAGGAGGAGCTACGGCTGAGCGCCCACACGCTGCTGCTGCCGACCCGGGGCCAGCTGGAGGCCCGCATGATGGTCACCGCCTTCGAGATGGGGCTGGACAACGTCACAGAAGACGCCATCAGCACCGTGGTCTGTGCCGTGGAGGTGGGCCGTCGTCATCCATATGCCTGCTCACAAACATTTTAGAACTACTTTCTCCGTCGCATCCTGTTTCTTCCACATGCTTGGCGCAAATCACCGAACTTTCATTTCAGCACCATTTGAAAGACGTCCTGACCGCCGTAATCACTCGGAGGAAGGCGTACCGGCTACGTGACGGACACTTCCCTTACGCCTTCGGCACCGACGTCACACCTCGACCTTATCTGAAGAACAGCCTGTCTGCGTACCACGGCATCAGCGAATGGTAGCGAGCGTCAACGTTTTCTAGTTAACTCAGGGCCGTCACGCTCATTTATTTTGGTCTGGGGCCACATCAGGATCAAATGTGTGTTGCTCGGGACAACGCCTATTAATCGATATTTCTGTTAATGCGCCAGATTTAGCCAAAGCGCTAATTTCTATGTGTTGTAAAGTTAATTTTTTTTGGACATTGATGTATTTTAATTAATTGCTGATTTTCAGGTTTCAAATTTTGAAGGGTTCTTTCACGTCATTTTCTAAGAAAGATGTATCTTTTTTCAAATTTTTTTTACAAAGTTTTAGGTTCTTTTTATTATTATTTTAAAACCTAAACATTGAAATAAAGCAGTGTTTCTTTAAAAATGACTACAAAGTTTTACCTCATAACATTTGTGGCTTTGAATAAGATGCATTTAACTGTAATGCGGGCAAAGTTTGTAGATCCCTTTTCTAGACTTTAGGGGTCCACATAAAACCTGGCGGGACAGATTCGGCCCCCAGACCTGGAGTTTGATGCATGCTACTTAAGACAAATGTTATTTTTGTGTGTGTGATTTTTGTTTCTTTTTAAGTCCTCCTCCAAGCGCGTCTCTTGCTGCATGCCCGCCGCCTCAGCCGTCGCCCGACGACGCCGAGCAAAAAGCCGTCCACTTGCTCGCTTGCTCCTCTGACACGCTACCTGCGCCTCTTCCTCCAATCAGCATGTTTGACCTCCTGGAAGCACTAAAGGTACGAAGATCAGCAAAAATGTGTCTGCATATATGAGCAGAACGGTTTCTTTTATCTATTTTTACTTTTAAAAATTATCAAGGGCCGGCCCAAGATAGTATGGGGCCTTGAGTAGAATCTAATTCAGGCTCTGGGGGAGGAGAGGCGGTAAGGGTTAGCTTGCTTTAACGCTTCGTGAATTGTCTGTGTGGCGCAGGTTCATCGCGCCGTGATGCCCTCCCACACCATGTACGCCCTCAACATGGAGCGCATCCTGGTCCAGCTCTGGCACCCCAGCCATGAGGAGCTGGAGCAGGACCGCATACACAGGCAGAGGCTGGCCAGCTGAGAGTCTCTCTGACTCTCTCCTCGCCAGACTGTGGGACTGAGTTCGTCTCTGCAAACCAGTCAATCTCCAGAACACCCATATGGGGGGGCGGTGTTTCCTGGAAAGTGGAGGACTTGGATTCTACCTGTGGCTTACAGAAGATGGAGCAAGAGGAAAACCAGGAAGCTGGAATGACGTAAAAACTTTACCTGTCCAACTTTAATTACTTGTTCACTGCACAATAGGAAACAGTTGGTTCTAATAGCTATAATTTTAGTCTATTTTAAACTATAGGAGCAAACAGTCTAGTTCTGGAAAAAACAAAGTCTTACCAAGTGTTTTTGGTCTAGTTTCTAGTGGAAATATTGTAGTTTTTTCTTATTTCAGGTGCACTAACACACAAGCAATGTTTCAGCAAGATACAACTGTATGAAGATATCTGCACCAGAAATTAGACCAAAAATACTTTCATGCTTTTGGTGGATTTCTTGTGGGAATTTCTTCTTCAAATATAACCTGCTGCTTTAAGGAATAACAAGTTGCATCCTGGATGTCCATCACCTTTACGAAGCTGCAAGTAATGTTAATTATTAGAAATTTGACAAAAATACAAAAGAAATCTTTTTTTAAACGGATTCAATTTATCAACTGTACCTCCAGCTTTGGTTGTGTATGGTGTTACAATCGGGACACTTTGCTTATTACTTCCTCCTAAATAGCATAAAAGGTTCAATTTTTTTCTGTTTTACTTTACTAATTTAAGTAAGATTTTTTTTATTTGCACCTTGTAACACATAATTGTGAAGTGTGGCAAACACCCCCAGCCCCCACCTTGGCAAATAATTTAATCTCACCTTAAACGGGTGAAACATGTTGGCACCATTATGCCTCTGTAGGTTTGGCTGGAGCAGAGAAATTTACACCACACTTTTCAGATTTTTTGTTGTAAAAACAAGAGGTCTTCCATTGACAAATTAGGATTAAATCACAGAACTTTCTAGCAAAGAACTGTTAAGATTTTAGGTTGCAATGTTGATGTGAAAATTGTTAAATTAGTAAAAAAAAACAACAACAAATATTTCAGTAAAGTGCGGTGTATGAGAGAAAATGCTGGAATCTGGTCTGGAGAAGATCTGAAGTTTACTGTGTGCATTGAACTCATCTTGAAACATAATGTCTAATATTTACTAGTTTCTAGTGGCAGTGTTGGTGATCCTCAGTGTTTCTACATTGTATATGTGTTCATGCTTTTTGTTTTATATATATATATATTATATATATATATATATATATATATATATATATATATATATATATATATATATATATATCACAGTTATAAAATAAAAGTCATTTTGTTTAAGCTAAATTATGCACTGCGTTTTTACTACGCACTTAAGTGTGTAAACAGAGCTGCGTTTTCTTTAGTGGTTACTTGTCGGAGTCACCAGCAGCGGGGGGGGGGGGGGGGGGGGGGGGATTGTGAGGGGTAGTGATTCAGCCACGCGCAGCCTTCCAGAGTCATCTTCCCATATTTGGGCTCCCTGCGGCTTACTTCCGGAAGCCGGGCTCTATCCAATGAGCGCTCGCGCCTCACACGCCACAGAATGACTCAAGGTCCCGTCTGTTCCCGAGTCTGGGATGACGAAAGCCGCTTTGCTTCTCGCTCCTTATGAACTAGACAGAAAATGCTAGCATGATATGTTCAACTTTTCTTTTTATTCGTTCAGCCTTATTTACATTTAAGTGCTCAAAAATGCAGCGTACAAATATTACAAAGAGTTATGATTTTTTTTTCTTAACAAGTTACACACGTATTAAAAAGTCGTATGAAGAAGAGTGTTCTGAAAGTAAGGCAGCTGTCGGTAAGCTACACACACCTACAGATAATAACAATAAAACCGTCTGGAAGGTGTGAAAGCTGTTAGTGTTCTCTTCTTTTCTTTAAACTCGAGCTGTCATTGTGTTTTCACCGTGTCCAGCTGTATCCCCCACGTCACCTCAGTTCCTGTGATGAGGTGCACATTTTCCACGCCTGACCTACAAGTTCTGGTAGAAATAATAATAATAATAATGTAGTGAAATTCAAAAGTGGGCAGACGAATAGGAGCAAAAGTTTCACTCAGCTGTGTGCGTCTGCAACATAACAGGTGTTGGCTTCCTTTTACACCGACCAAGCCAAAACAGTTCGTGTCTGTGCTGTCGGTTGTGGGGGAGGGAGGGAGGGAGTTGGTGGAAGGTGTCAAGCAGCCATCTGAAGTTGCATTTGGTCCTTTATTGGCTCCGTCAGTCTCCGCAGCCTAGTAGGCTTGGAGCTGCTGCGTCAGGATGAGCTGACAGCCGCTGTTGACGTGGTCCATGACCTTCTGCTTGAGCAGAGCCAGCTCGTCCCGAAGGACGTTGGCGGAAGAAACCAGCTCCGTGTTCTGGGTTTTCAGGTTCTTGACCCTTTCCTCCAGTCGGGAGATCCTCTCCAACTTCCTTTTCCGGCACTTGGAGGCGGCCACCCTGTTCCTCATGCGCTTCCTCTCCGCCTTGATGCGCTCCTGGGTCTCCATGTCGATCGGGGAGAGCGGAGGCGTATCGCCGGACATCTCGGGCACCGTTTGCGGCTCCTCCTTGAGCGTCTGCAACCGCGGGTGCTGCTGCTGCGCCGCCAGCTGGTGGTCCGTGTGGCTGTGTGGCGGCTGCGGGGCTCCCGGATAACTTGTGGGCGGGTGCCTCTCCGCGACAGGTGCGGACGCGGAGCCCACGGTTCGGCTAAAACCGGCCAGGTTGGTGTACTCGGGCGGCTCCGTGCGCACCGTGCAACTGTAGGGAATCCCGCCGCCTTCGCACGGAACTGCGCCGGGTGCCACCCCGCTGGTCCCGCCGGTCTGAGCGTCAGGGTGGGCGGCGGGGATCTGCTGGTAGTGGAGCTCGGCCAGGGCCCTCACGAACCCCTCCGCGAAGCCCTCCTGCTCGTCGCTGACGTTCTTGGGGCAGATGAACTGGGTCGGGGTGGGAGTCGTCAGACCAGTGCAGGACTGGATGATCAGTCTCTCCAACTCCGGCGACGCCAGCTTCAGTAAGCCGACATCGGGCGACGTGAGAATGTCCAGGGCTTTTGCTCCGAGCTGGGGCTTGAAGTTTTTGGGGTCGTTCAGGTTCAGGGTCATAGTTTGCTTCATTGTCTTGGGGTTGAACCCGTACACAGCCGCCCCGTCGTGCTGGGAGTTGGAGGCATTTACGGCTTCGTCGTAGAACGTCGCTTCCATTTTACGGATTTTTCTAGACATAAACTTTTTCTTCCGAATCCCGTCCAAACGGTAGAGTTTGAGCAAAGAGTCCGACGTTTATTGGTTTTTCACGGTGTATTCCGTGACGGTCAGTCCGCGGTCCCGAGGCGGACGCTGCCTATTGTTGGGAGTTCAACTCACTTGACAACTTTTGCGTCCCGAGGAAAGTTTTCCTTTGTGGACGGTGCGGTCATCGACGAAAAACAAAAGACGTTTTTCTTCCGCCGCCGAGCGTCTTGTGCGTCAAACGTCCCGCTGTGGCTCGTCCTCCCGCTCTAACGACTGAAAACACTTCATAATAATAACACTCCGAAAACGGGTAATACTTTCAATCACTTCCAACGTGGAGACGAACTTTATCCACCTCTAAGCTGCAGCCCCACTGAAAATAACAATGATGTCATTTCTACGCCCCGCGATTGGCTGGGGGCGAGCGAGTGGGCGGGGCTCGTCTGATGACATGTGTGTTGCTCCGACAACCGGCCCTGTCCCCGCCTCTCCTCGCGAGGGTTCATGGGATTAGGTAATGCAAGGCGCAGCAGCAATGTACTCTGGGATTACGTAGTGTTTTTGAATATTTAGTTACCCGCTCAATTTCTATTGAATCCGTCCCGATCGCGACACTTTTTCTTTTTTATTTATTTATTTTTTCATACCGTCATGGACGCCAGGACTCAGGTTTTACTGGGTCAGATTTAAGTGTCGAAGAGCAAAAGTCTCGAGAGTGATTTCTTTTCCTTTCTTTTCTCTTCTTTTCGTTTTCTTTCTGTCAGGAATAGACAGATGAAGCGGTTCAGGAAGTGTTGTTTAAAGATAGACCACAGACCATGAGCCTGACCCAGATCGAGAGTGCTTTCGGTCCGGGAAAGACGCTCTTAAAAGTCGCACTGTTTTCGCAGTTTGTGTCAAAGCCGCAGATGGAAATGTTTGATCCCGAGTCCTGGAGACACTTTGAAGTGCTTTGCATGAAGATTACATTCAAAAGGCCAGTGCGTGCTGGAGAAAAAGTGTAACATAGTTTAGGTTTTGTATTTACAAAAAAAAAAAGAAGAAGAAAGAAGCTGTAAAACGCAAATAAAAACAAATGAGTAGAGACTGATTAAATAATAATAATAAAATAATAATAATAAGTGTTTGCCTTTGCTGAATAGCTGATGTCAGCTGTGTTTCCAGTCCTGATTTAAAGGAGCCAACACAGCTGATGAGCTGAGGAACTAAATGCTGGCTCCCGCTTATTAGTTCTGGTCCTGGGAATCCAAGACCAGAGAGGTCCCGGTGGGTTTTAGCAAGCAAGCAACTGAAATACATTTGGTCCATTTCGTGATCTTAGAAGATTTGAAAAGTCTGTCATTCTGAGAAAGCGAGAGTGTCACAATGTAAAGACTGCTGGGGGTTAGGTGCGTGGGGTCAGGTTGGTTGAGATGTAATTTCCTTTTTTATATAATTTTAGGCACCTGTAGAAACAACATAACTTACTGACAATAAATTTAATGTCTTCATTAAATCTTATTTCTTCTACCGACAAATTGTACACAGACAGTAAAAGTACAGCTGATGGATGAAGTGTAGATTTCCACTGAGGGATTTCATGAGATATGTTTTCAATTTTTTTTTTTTTTTTTAGTATTTGGGTCAGTGACATCACACAGAGTCCAATAATTGAGCTGACCGACTACTGGGGAAAGTGAATGACTATAGTTACATTGCAAAAAAAATAGAAAAAAAGAAAAACTGATTTTGAACCAGTAAAGTTGCGTCAATGAAAAAAAAATATTTTGAATAAAAGTGAGGCTCCATCCCGGTACCACGATTACAACACATGTAATCTTTGACCAATCGTGTTTACCAAATGATGAAACGTAGGTATAAAATCTGAATTCATTCAGCAAATTAACAGACAATTCGACACACTTTTCTTGTCCGGTCAGTAAATGATGTTTTTTCTGTCTCGACGACAACAAGAAACACAAATTACAGAGTATTGATGTAAATTGCTTTCCCTAAAAAAAAAGAAATATTTACAACTTATGATTTTACAGAAACAATCATGTTTATAAACAGTAGGTTGTTTATATAAAATAGATGAAAATCTTGTATAGGTTTTTGTTTATGGATTTTCACAAAATATTGTAGAACAAGCAGCGTCAGTGCATTTATAGAGGATTAATTCACTACAAAATTTGATTTTATGGCACTTCACAAATAAAAAAAACAAGTTCAATCAGTTCATACTGAATTAGATTTTTATTTTTCATTTTTTTGTACTAATAAATTACAATCCTGTCACCGTTTGTCAAGCACAGCTGTACGAATGCGGTGTGTATTCTAAGTAGAGCAAGTTCTGATATTATTGTGCATGACTTGCAAACAACCAACGGCCTCGATGCTTAGGAAAATGCTGCGTTTGCTCACACACCCGAGGTATTCAGACGGTTAAAAAATGTGAAACATGCCAGTTTTTGTGACTCCCACATGCAAGGCCCTCTGGGTATAAACTGAATCTGCACTGCTGCCTGGAGCCTCAGTCCAGTCCGGCTGGTTTCCCTCACTCTATTATTCAACATGTTCTTCTCCGGCCAACTAAATAAGTCAGCAAGCCCCAGTAAAGTTAAACTGGGATAACCAGAGGCGCTTCGAGTCAACACTGCTAGTGTTGTCGCAAAACCTGTTGTTTATAAGTAGTTCAAAACCTTATAGCTGCAGCATGACACTTTCATGTTTTTTTTTTTTAAAAGTGTTTTCTTTTTTACACATTTGTTAGAGTTGTGATTATGTTGTTACAATATAGTGTCCAAGACAAGTAACCTGTAAAAATCAAAACAAAAACAAACTGCTGAAATACACCACTCAGTCAGAAACAACCAATCAGAGCCAGGAGGGAGGGTCTTAGCACTGTCCATCATACTTGTGCTCTCTGCCAAGCAAAAGCTGGCTCACCACATCATAGCCTGCCACGAATGCTGGATTACAGCGGCAAAACGGTTTTCCCGTAAAGGGTAACTTGTTTTTCAACCGCTGGCACATTGAGCAGCGTACACGAGGTTGATAGGCAGCGCTAAGACTCTCCTTCTGGCTCTGATTGGTTGTCTGACCGGGAGCAGTGCGTTTCTGTAAACTACTATAGCAGCACAGGGAGAATTTAGATGTTTGTTTTTCTTCAGGACATCTGATCTTTGGTGGCAGTTTTAATAAATATGAAACAAAACATATTTTTTAAAAAAGTTGCGCTCTGCAGCTTTAAGGACTCCAGTAGTTGTTGTCTCAGAAACGTCTTTTGCCTCCTTTGTGGTAGAAGACATATCCATGTCTGCATTTGTCCTACTCCAAATCTTATCTCTCTTTTTGCAGGTTAGAGATTTCTAAGACACACACCATGTCTGAATTTGTCTCTGTGCACCTGTGTGTCGGCTCCACAGAGGAGTCATTTCCCATCTAAGTACCACACTGCCCTGGCCGTGCTTCCTGTTTCTCTGTTGGCTTTTCCCTCCAGCTGGCCCAGCGGGGTCACCTTTAGAGAATAGCGCTCCCTCCCGTCCCTTCTCCCTGCCAAGGCCAGCTGTTTCCTCCGCACACAGTTTTCCAGTTGGAGGCTGAAAGCCATCGGCCTCCCGGCAGCGGCGGAACGGTCCGGGATTCCTCCACCCGAGCAAAACACACACACATACACACACAGAGAGAGCGAGGGGTTATGGTGCGTGCGCTGGATGCATCAACAGAGCAAAGTTTTGCTTACCTTCACGCGTGGACTCGAGAAGGGATCCAAACCGAGGCTCGGAGAGAGAGACGGATGACATTTCAAACACAGTCTGCGCCGTGTTTGTTGGAGAACAGCTGTTTCTTCCTGTCCCGCTGCTCCGGTTTTCCTCTGTGCCTCCACGTCTGCTGACCATTAAAGGCCCAAACACACAGCTCTCAGCCCACGCCGCCTCCTTTAGACGGCTGCTTCAAGTAAAGAGCACAGCGGCAGAGTGGGAAGAAAGATAAAGTCGGACAGTTTCAATTGACTGACTCTGTTTCTGTCCTTTTGTTTGTGTTTTAAAAAGCAGGAATTGGATTCAGAGAGATTTTCTTGCATGGTCATTCCTAAACAACGAACTTGACGTTTGTCTTGTTTTCACTTCAGTCTTGGTGTGGAAATCAAATCAATAAAGAAGTAATAGTTAATATTATCACTATCCCATGGCTGCAGTCTCCAACATTTGACAGATCTAAAGAAAACTCTAAAAGAACGTCGTGAAACCTGAACAGTCAGAACTCAGAGGCAAGTTTAAAGTTATCACAAGAGGGTAGGCTGAGGCAGGATTTGAAGATCTCTAAAATAAACCTGCTGAAGAATCATCGTCCGTATTTCGCTGAATAATATTTAGATCTCATGCTGGCTTTGTTGAATCTGTGACGTGGATTAGGTTCATCATCATAAGGTAAGTGACTATTTTGAATCTTTGAAAAGGCCCAGCATTCTGAAATGTGTGATAAGTAAATGTGACAGGTGAACTTCTGCGTTGTGTGTGTGGTGATCGGACAAACCACAAATCATCAAGTCTGGGTTTGGAGGCAGTCTCCGTTTATTGATCTGTCAATTGGGAGATATTAGCATGAGCACATAGCATGTGCTCCAGTTCTCCAGCCCAATCTATACAACATAACAAAGTTATAAAGGCGTTATAACTCAAATGAAAATATTCAAACATATAATCAACACAGATGGAAAAATAAACATTTGAAGAATATGAATGAAAGGGTTCCAATGGACCACAAAACTTGCCTCTCCCCAGTGGAACGAATGACAAAAGGGAAGAAGAAATGAATAATTTAACATTTATAACAGTCCTGGAGGACCCTGAACAAGAGAAGAAGAAAGTAAGGCGGAGCTGGAAGACCAAACCCCCATAACAGAGACAGAAGAACACAAGAACAGCCAGATGCAAACTGACAAATACGTTAAAGAAAACATTTTGTGTAAATATATAACTATTGATATAGTTATATAGTTACATAAATAAATGACTTATTATTATTATTCAAATGTACTTTTTTTTATTTTTTTTAAGGTGACTTATCAGAAGAATCAAAAAGTTTTATGATCACGTCACAGTCTTTCTAATCCTCGCAGCGTGGCTCGGTGTTTGTTTTGGCTTCGACGAGAAAAAAAAATGCGACCGTCGTCCTTTTTGGCCGCTTTCGCGTTCCGTCTCATCTCACCGTCCTGTACAAATCAAAGTTCATGGTAAGACATTTGCACCTGATTAAACGGGTTGTTTTCTCTCTCTTGCGTGAAATAAGATTTTCGGGTAAACTCTCCGCGTGTTTGAGTTTATTTCATTCTTAGTTATTGGTCGGGTTTTGTTTTTATGCACGCGGTATTCAAAATACAACCTGCGCTCGTGATTGGTGTAAATCTGCTGCGCTTATTCAAACTTAAGGATAACGACGAACAAGGCTGCGAGCTATAGTTTTAGTCTTCCTGTATTCAGTAATAAATAAAAGAATGGAAAGAATAATAATAATGAGGTGAGTCATTCATTCACTTTATTTATTCTTCAACAGGTCAGCTAGGTTGACCCTTGACCTGAGGATCATGGCAGAGGCCTATTATGTTGGGGTTGATGTGGGTACTGCCAGTGTGAGGGCTGCACTGGTGACCAGAGAGGGGCTCCTGAAGACCACAGCAGAGGAGCCCATCACCATCTGGAAGCCCCAGCCGGAGCACTATGTCCAGTCCTCCACAGAGATATGGCAGAAATGCTGCTCAGTGGTCAAGGTAGGAAGATCTCTGTGGAAGAAGATGGTAAATAAAAAAAAATTAAATTAAAAACTGAATTGGTATCAAAGAACTCAACCCTGGTAAAAGAAAATACCAGAAAGGCAATATGGATCAAATCACTTGGACTCTCTGCTGTGATGGGCACCTGTCTTTCTAAATAAAAAAAATTATTATAAAGAAAAAGAGGACTCAATCCTGAAATATTAACAGGTGCCTCCTGTTAATATTGTCATAATTTGCAGAGGTTGCAAAGATCAAACCTTATCCATTGTTGTAAGGTATCAGTCAGGATAAGGCTGTACAGTCCAGTTTAATCAATTAGAATGAGGTCCGTTTGTCAGATTAAAAGTACTTTTGGAAAACAATCTTTTAGCAGACACAAAGCATATGAAACCTAAATACAAATATGTTTTTGCATTTGAAGTGTTATTTTCCATTTCATACCTAAATGTCATATTTAGGTTTCATAAATCACAGGCCTCACAGCACGTGTTTAACTAATCCACGTGATGTGATTCACTGACTAAATTGGGTTACTGAAATAAATTAACGTTTCAACGACGCTGTAATTACTTGGAAATGATTTTATATGCAGCTAGTAAAGTAAGCATTGAACATGTCCACCTTTTTCATTTTTTCCCGAGGAAGACATTTTTCTGATACTTACATTGGACTCTCCGCTTCTATCCTCAAGAGAAATGCACAGAAATCAATGAGAATAAGTATCGAACGCATGAAAAAACAGATTCGCAAAAAAGCAAAGAAAGACAAGAAACCAGCTGAAGTCCATCTATATTTAGAAAGCGTTTCCACTGCTGTGTGTTGTTTATTAGCTTTTAATTTGCCTTACTCAGCCTTTCTGCTCAGCCATCTTTCTTTACATGTTTTGCTCAGGTTGTGTCTTGCCAAATTTTCTGTATTAACATGTTTTTTCACATGTAGCTTTGCTGTGTGATTTAGTCTAACATTTACTCATTTTAGCTAGCAGTTTAGCTAGCTAAATTTAGTAAATGTTTTAAGTGTGCTCATTTTAGCTAGCTGAACTGCTAGCTAAAATGAGTAAATGTAAAATTTTGTTGACAAAAACAGTTGTTTTCTGTCAAAGCAGTTTAGCTACAGCTTATTTGTTCAGAGTGCATTTGTTTATTAGCGATTTAAGCTAGTTTTTACATTGTAGCATCTCTATTATGAGACAACAACAGCTGTATAAAGGGAAGACACGCATCCTGGATTATGTGGCGTAAAATGCTGTGTTAGCCAGCTGTAGATCTTCGACAGTTATAATTCACCTGGTTAAGAAGAGAACAAAAATATTATCTGAATATCCTTTATTGTTGCTAATTGTTTGAAAAGTGTCATGGATCATTTCATGTTGAAACATTCTGTGATAATCCAACACTTGTTCCTTACTTTACAGATGTACGGTGACCAGTGGTGTGGTTATATGTTGTTTTGGCTCTGTTTTATCGCAGGAAGTGACCAGTGGGGTGCAAAGCGACCAGATCCGGGGCGTCGGCTTCGATGCCACCTGCTCTCTTGTAGTTTTGGATGAACGTTTCCAGCCAGTGCCAGTCACTCAGGAGGGTAAGTGTTGTATTAGTTGGCTTCCTGTCGTCTTCGGCCTTTAGTCTGGTGATGGTCTTCAACGCATTCAGCAACTAAATTCATGTTTCTTCCCTCCCAGCTGATTTCAGATGAACAAATGCAGCGTCTGTAAAACCTGATGCTCTCTCCTGATTTGTTTTTTGTTTTTCTTTTTCTTTCTGTTATTTAGGCGACCCGCAGAAGAACGTGGTGATGTGGATGGACCATCGCGCTACGGAGCAGGCGGCTCGGATAACAGAAGCCGGACACAGGGTCCTGAACAGGGTGGGAGGGGTCATGTCGCAGGAGATGCAACCTCCAAAGCTCCTCTGGCTCAAAGAGGTGAGGAAGGTCACCACCTCTTCCTCTGCGCTCTGTGTGTTTTTTTTGTTTTTATTCCTTTAAACCAGCTGGTTATCTTACACACTTTTAAACAGTCCACCAAGTTCCATCTGTTTGGCGGTGATGTTACGTTTGCATGGCATGCCGTCAGTAGCTACTGATTCTCGTTGCCTCTTTGTCAGAATCTAAAGGACAGCTGCTGGGACAAAGCCGCTCACTTTTTTGACCTGCCGGACTTCCTGTCCTGGAAAGCTACAGGCTCCACAGTGAGGTCAGCTCCCTCAGCTTGGTCTTTTTTTTGGGGGGGTGGGGGGGCAGAGGGAAATTTATGTTATACACACACATGCAAACCTCTTGAACCTTTGACATGTTTTGTCACGTCAGGGGGATCATGGTTACAACATAGCAAAATAAGCAATGTTTTTTTTGTATTAGGAACACCGAGCTATTTTCTCGGAGTAAAAACAGCAGCAGGACAGATTTTTCTTTCGCTTTGTGGTCAAATTGTTTCCTATCTTCTGTCCTCAGCAGTAGATAACCGGATAGATATCAAAATTCACCCAACGTGCGATGTAATCTGGTATTATTCTTCCCTGCTGTCCCTCAGGTCTTTATGTACTCTAGTGTGTAAGTGGACGTACTGTCCTCTCGGTGGCTGGGATCCCAGCTTTTGGATTAGCCTTGGACTGGAGGGTCTTCTGGAAAATAATTTCTCCAAAATAGGCAAGAACATATATATATATATATATTTTAAACAAATCTTATATCTCTCACATATTTGCTTCGTTCTGATTGTCATCTTCTAACGTTGTAATGATTTTGCATCCAGGCAGCGCGACGTGTTCTCCAGGAAGTCCTCTGGCAGGAGGCCTGACCCCGCAGGCCGCAGCAGATCTGGGTCTGGACCCGGGAACAGCAGTCGGTGCTTCACTCATTGATGCTCATGCCGGAGGCTTAGGTAGCACAACTCAACGGAAACAAAAAGGAAACAAAAGTCGTGTCCAGACTGTAGCCACTTATTTTAACTGTACCGGCTCACTGAGGCGTCTCAAAAAAACAAACAAAAAAAACCTCAAGAACCAAGAATCCAAGTCCGGGAAAATACTTGTTTCTCGTCATAAACGTCCAGGACAGGTTCCTGCAGTGTTTGTTTATAATCCGAACCCTTTCGGCCAGAAAGAGCAGAAAGTGGAAAACTACCTTCACCGAGACACGTTTCTGCAGAGCGAGCGCACAGAGAACGCAAACAGCAACATGCGTTGGGACAGGCGTTGTTTAAATCCCACCAAGAGCCTCGCTGAGTTACACACATTTATATGGATTTGCAGCCTCAAAAGTCCCATCAAATGAAATCAGTGCTTTATCAATCAGTCAATTGAGTTTATTTGTGTAGAATATTTCACCAACACGGCAGTTCAAAGTGCGTTACGTCACAAAAACGCCCAAAAAAAATACAAAATCAGAAACAGGTGGGTTGAGTACCAGAAAATGTACTCAAGTAAGAGTAGCAGAACGTCAACATATTTTTACTGAAATAAAAGTAAAAGTAGCCATCAGAGAAATTACTCAAGAAGAGTAAAATGTATTTGGTAAAATTCTACCAAGTGGAATAACAATAATTCATATAGTGACAAAAAAAGAACAAAATTAGGAAAATAAAAATGTTTCCAAATCAGTTTCTTCCAGTAAAAAAAAAAAACTCTTGAAACTTTAACAAAAACTGTGGGTGTGTCTGTGTCTGCTGAGTGAAAACATGTTTCTTTTTCATTCAGCGGGGAGAAAATCCAGACGTTTTGCACATGCAGTAAGTATACTTCATAGCAAAAGGACTCAAGTAAAAGCAAAACGTTCAGGGGGAAGCGCCTGGAATCCCAACCATCTGGTTTGGCTCTGAGAGCTGCACCCGCTTGTGAACCCTACCCTCTGACCCGCGGTCGGGACCTCTGCCAGCCGCGTATTGTTGCGTCGGTCAGGGGTCGAATCGCTCCGAACCGAAGGTTGTTGTTCCTGCCGGTCCACACGCAGGCGAGGACTCTTCCTATAAAACACACGCCAGCTCTGCAAACATTATTGCAGCAGTTGGTGTCATCGCTGAATCCCACGTGATGCTGGAGAGCTCTACTATGTTTTTCCCTCACCCCACTTAACACAATGTGATGATTCTCTTTATTAAAACTACTTTATGAAGGCACATGAGGCACATTCTGGATAGATAAAAGGTGGAGTGAATATTCGCCAAAAAACTCAGAAATTCTCTAGAAAAGTATATTTTTTTTTTTCCAGAACTGGAAAAGAAATTAAGAGACCACTACATTAAACCCCGTTGAAAACCCAAATGTTGGTTTCTGAGTTCTTCCTGAGTTGAAACGTTGGTATCGTTGTGTCTAGATGAATATGAACTTGTTTTCTTTGGATTATTTAAGGTCTTTTCCGATATTTTGACCATTTCACATTTTCGGCAAATACATTTTTGCTTGGAATTTCAGAGACATGTCGTCAGCAGTTCACAGACAAAAGAACAATGTTCAGTTTACTCAAACATATATCTATGAAGAGTAAAATCAGAGAAACGGATCATTTTGCAATGGTCTCTTCATTTCTTCCAGAGTTGTATGTGTATTCTTTTTTTATTTTTTATTTTTTATAAATTATTTTGATGTATTTGTTCAAAATCAACATATTCAATATTAAATTTGAAATTTAATTTTTTTTTTTTTTTTGGGAACTCAGAAAAAAAAAATTGATTTTGTACAGAAATTTACTTCTCCTCTTTTTTTTAAAAAAAGTTCCACCTCAAATGACCCAGATTCACCGTCTTACTCCTTCCAGGTGTTATAGGCGCTGATGTGCAAGGCTTCGATTTACCCTGCGAGGGCTGGCCAATCACGTCACGCATGGCGATGATCTGTGGGACGTCAACTTGTCACATGGTGGTCAGTGGATTTTAGGGATGCATGACTTTCTGTAATCAACTGCTTTGTTTTTTTTAACTTTTTTTTGTTGTTTTTTTTAACCAGTCATGTATGTCGTTTATGAGCAGATTAGTGAGAAGCCTCGGTTAGTGCCCGGAGTGTGGGGACCCTACTTGTCCGCCATGGTGCCAGACCTGTGGCTTAACGAGGGAGGACAGAGTGCCACAGGAAGTCTGGTCAGACGCCCTGCCACAGTCACCTTTTCACACATGTGGTCATATTCATATATATGAAACACCGAATTTAATCGTGCTGGGGAGATCGAAGCAATATGAGTTTCTGTTTTTGAAACTGAAAAACAGACCTTTTCTACCTGGTGCGATATGGCTTAAGAATAAAATCCAGGGTCCTGTATGTTATAAATGTTTATCGTTTTTGTTTAAAAAAAACATTCTTCTTCAATCAAATCCCCTTTCTCAAGGTAAATAGCACAATCTTAATTAATATGGTCATGTTTCTTCAGAAAGAATTCAATATTTTCCCGAATGTCCATTGATTTTCATAGGATGTGCAGACATCCAATCTTAAGTAGCGAACTAAAACTCAAGGCAAACACCACAATCTATTGACTTCCTGCACTCATTCACTAGAAAAAATAACACCCATGACTGTTGTAATTCATTCATTACTCAGCTAACCTGTTTCTCACGTCCTTGTGAGCCTTCCTGTTATCAGCTGCTGCTCCGTTGTCCCTCTCCTCCCTGCAGATCGACCACATTGTGCAGGGCCACGCTGCTTACGCCCAGCTCCAGGAACAGGTTAACCAGAGGTCAGCTCACAGCGATTCAGTTGGGTTTTCTTGCTTTTACACGCTGCGCCGTCCTGCTGACTGCTAATGCGGTGGGTTCTGTGTGAACAGGTTAACACAGAGGTTAAAACCTGAGTCCATCCCTTTCTGTTTCCACAAGTTGTAAGAAGAAAAAGTGACTGTGCGCCTTTATTTTTGTTAAAGAGACAACAGAACAGCTTAGGTGCGCATCTGATGGGACCAAAGTGGAGTTATTGGGCCATGACGACCACCACCATGTTTTTTGGACCCAACAACTGACTATTTTAGTAGTCCATTATTTTATTCTGACGATTAATCGATTAATTGGACAAAACATTTTTTTGCATGTTCTCCAGATTTTTAATTTAACCATTGAAGTCATTGTTATATGATAGATACACAATAAGAGGTGCAAAAACATCACAGTTTAATTCCTCTTAATTGATAGCTTCACATGAGAATTTGAAGCAGGTAAAACTACAATTATGCCACTTGAGACACTTCTGAGTAGATATTTTACATCAAAATGTTAAATTTAAAATGTCTACATTTTTGTACAGTTGTGGCTTAATAGCTGTTCTGAATGTGATGTTCTTAAAGCAAATTGCCTCCTTTTTTTGTGTGTGCTGAAGTTAGCGATTGATCCATCACTAAATCAATCGATTCATTGTGATTAATCGTTCCAGCCCTAATGTCTTTAGAGAAAACCAAACATAACACACCAGGTGTCAAACACAGTGATGATGAGTTCAAGTTTGATCATTCCCATTTGCACGATTGTTTTTCTCATGTCTCTTTGTACTAAAGTCTGCTGCCTTGGTCTCAACTGGGCTCTTTTTTTGAAGGACAATTTTGTTTGCAAAGGCTTCAGTTTCCATTTTATTTTCTGTTTTGGTTGTTTTGTTTGTCCATTTTGCATATTTAAAATGTCTTCCAGTCCTAGTGGTAAATATTTGCTAGAAATTAAATTTTATCGACCTACTATGGCATTCCCGTCATGTCACCCGAAGATGGTCTCAAAACGAAAATGTTATCGTTTATCGCGATAACTTCTTGTACAGTTTGTCAATTTATGGTGACAGGCCTGATGAGGAACGCTTTCTTTCCGAAGTGAACCACATGTCAGGCTGACATTAAAGTCCAGCAGGCGTCTTAAGAGTATTTTTTATTTCTCATTTCAGCGTTCCCTTCACGGGCGCCAACATTTACTCGTATCTGAACAGCCACTTGGCTCAGATGGCCGGCTCGCCGCCTGCTGTGGACCTGCTGGGATCCAGCCTTCACGTGTGGCCGGATTTTCACGGCAACAGGTCGCCGCTCGCTGACCCCGCTCTGAAGGGAATGGTGAGGCCTCAGCGCCACACTCTCGGCACATGAAGCTCTTTTTTCTCCTCTGAACTTTCGGGTTCGATATGTTTTCTTTGAACGTGTCGTAAAACTAAACAAGCAAACTATTTTATGAAGCAACAAGCTGTTTTCTCAGATTAGGATTCAGTTGGTGATTCACTCTTTCCTCTTCCTGTTCGCCCGTCTGTGTTGCAGGTGATCGGTCTGCCTCTTTCCCAAACCGTGGATGACTTGGCGCGGCTGTATTTAGCGACGCTACAAGCTCTCGCTGTAAGCCACGTGTTTGTTATCACTCCCTCAGCGTCTACTGTGTGCAACTCCGAAAGGCTTACAAGGCGACCCTCTTCTTGTACTTGGGTCTGACTTTCAGCTCGGGACGCGTCACATTCTGGAGACCATGACAGCATCAGGATATGACATCAGAACCCTCTTCCTGTGTGGCGGCTTGAGCAAAAACCTTCTGTTTGTACAGATCCAGGCTAATGCTACAGGTACGTGGTGCGTTCAAGGTGATGCGTGGGAGTTACGCTGCATCCCGGTTAGTTCTGCAGTGGGAACACCGAACTGGGTTTGATGTCAGACTCCAAGTAACAGCTTTTAGAAAACGGGATTTCAATACGGAGACGCCCAGGAACATTTTTCAGCTTTACTTTCCGTAAACAAACACCATTTTTACTTTGTATAGTTGCGGCCGCTACATCTGTGTCTCCTGAAATAAACATGTTTCCACCACATCTGCAGATACGAAGAGCAGCCATATTGAAAGTTGGCCTTACAAGTCGTAACTAGGAGTTGCTCCCACTTTCCCATTGGGAAATTTTATTTCAGAGGACGTTCCAGTAGATTTTTCCAACAGGGAAGTTGGAATTTCCCAGTTCATACTGCAGCTGGAACGCAGTTTTAGCTTCCTGCTAATCGTAGAATGTTGTATTTAGGCCAAAGGAAGTTTGTTTGTAGGCTAATTTGACCAGAGAACCTTCTCCCACACACTGAAGGCAACTTTCTACATGGCTTAAGGCAAACTGCAACTTGGACTTGTTTTGGATTTCTGTGGACAGTAGCTGTCTTCCATAAGGGCCAGATTTGTTCAGAGCATCACTAATTCTCATTATAGCGTCTGATCTCTGCTGCTTCAGAGTCACAAGCTTTCTTCCAGCAAGGCTTCTTGTTGCAAGGGTTTATGTTCTCTGTTGTTTTGTTTTTTTAATTGACAGAATGTGAAACGGTCTGAATGGGTTGGCTTTAGCGAGTCAATGTGGCTGACACCTACCTCTAAAACGACGCTCTAAGTCAGTCTGAAAGTTATTATGAGATGGACCAGACTCTCAGACCTTCTGGCATAAAAGCTTGCACAGAGCAATTGAGTGAAAGGCTAAAGTTCTTGAACGACGGCGTCGCGATCGGGGTCGGACCCGAACCAGGAAACACATCCTGAGTGGAAGATGAAGCTGGAGGGGAGCCGGCTACGCGCCACAGAGGCATCGTGGAGAAGAACAATCTGATAAACTGAGGGAGAGGTGCGACTGACCGAGGAACAAGGAGGATTCATCAGGAGAGAATAGAAAACAGCTGAGAGGAGGCAAGAGACGGGGAACAGCTGGGACGAGGAGCAAACTGACAGGCAGAGGAAGCTGAGACATAAACACAGCAGAGACTGATTCAAACTGTAGTTGTGGCATTTGGTGATGTTTTTGTTGTGGTCATTTTATGTGACTATTTATAGTGATTGTAAACAGGGTATGCGTGGACATTGAATGTTGTGTGACTTTACTCTGTTATCACAGATGGAAATCAGACGAAAAGCGTCTTTTGTTAATGTTTTTTGCACGTTGTACCGCGGCCTGTCACTGCAACACATTCTGCCGGACGATAAATTTCCCCAGAACCGATTGCGATAAACGATAGTATTGTTGTTTTGAAAACGTTTTCAAGCAATATAATAGTGATAGTGGCATAAAAATGCAAGCACACACATTCTCAAAGTCCAATAAACTTTCAATTCTAATTAACATTTAAACACTGGAATTGGAAGAGATTTGGAAGATCCAAAACAAAAAAGAGACAAATAATAAATGGAGCAAATTAAAATGATTGATTTTCTTTAAATTTATTATGGGATTAATCGATTTATTGTTTATTGTGACTAGTAGTACGTGATAAATAAACGAATAAACCCAAAGAGGAAACCACCCAAAACACAGATGAATGAATTAACATACAAAGAGATAAACTAAAATGACAAGATGTAAGTAAATAAACTACAAAGAATAACGTAAGTTCAAACAGCAAGGAAGTCTGGAAACAGGAAAGAGCTGTTGCTAAGTGTCGTTTCTCTTCTCAGCACTTCCTGTGGTGCTGCCGGACCAGTCCGAGGCCGTTTTAGTGGGCGCAGCGGTTCTGGGCGCCTGTGCATCCCAGGACTATGAAACCGTACAGGTACCGTCTCACACACACACACATCTGTCACGCTATGTCTCCATTTTGGATTCATTCACTAAACTTACTAACGGCAGTGTTTTACTCACCTGAGGTTAGTTTTTTAATCACTTTAGAACCTGGTAAAGTCCAACGCTTTCATTTGTTATTCTAATTCTTACCATTTTATAAAACCATTAGACTTTGTTTGCCCATAAAAGTTGCGTTACAAGACGTTTCTTAGTTTGACTGACCTGGATTTCAGCAGATATTTTAAAATCAATTCTCTGCTTAGTAAAACAAGAAGTATGTGAAAAAATGAGCTAGATTTCAAATGTCATGCTAATTATCTAAACTCAGGTTTCACATTTAGTTTAATAATAATTTTGTGTGAAAACGACTTTCATTTCCTAATGTTGATGGAGTTATTTAGCTTCTTCTTTTTGTCACAATTCTTCAAGTCCTTTGGTTGTCAAAACTGGCTTAGACCGAACAAGAATTCAAGCATGTCATAAAAAGCGGCTCTTTGACGCACGGGTTGGACTACTTGTATAGTTTGATGGTCTTTTATCCCAGGCGTCAATAATTCATGCAGGCCTCTTTTTCTCAGTAGGATTTAATGTGACACGCAGCGATGCATGCTGGGTATTCACATAAAAGAGCTCAGAATAGGACCCAGATCTGGAAACAAAAGGTATTGTTGAAATGCGACCCGGTGTCGCCACCTGCTGGAGGGAAACCAGCGCATACCACTCTCTCGGTTCTGCTGGCCGTGTCCACGGAGCAGAGCCTGTTTGGTGCGCAAAGTGTGGCTTAAGATGTGAGGCTTTAAATCTTTTTTCGGGGCAAAGTTTCACAGCGAGCTGGGAGCCACATAGACTAAAAATAAGACGCTGTTATTTGGACCAGGCGGCAGCTGGTAGATTGTTTTCAGCCATAAATACCCCCTCAGCTGCACGCGCTCCGCTGTCTGGATTTTGTAGGTTTAGGTAGGAGTGAGAGCCCCCCGTGCATCAATCATGAGCCGACGCAAACCAGAACCGCCGCAGTCGGACTGTGTTTGGGAGATAAGTAGGTCACGGGCTGACGTGAAATTAAGACGCATATCTCTGTATGCCCTTTTATGGGGTGCTGTTTGTCTTTGCAATCTTGTGTCTCAGGAGGCCATGGAGAAAATGGCTAAAGTTGGGCAAGTCGTTCAGCCGCAACAGGACCTCAAGAGGTGAGGGAAACGACTTTCCAAACAGTGCACAACATCAACATCCTGTACTTCCTTGGAATTTTACGCGGTGGTCAAACACAAAGATAAACCAAAGTAGATTCATAAATGACACATTTATCTGTTTTTGCAAATGCAGCAGATCCTTCAACATTACATTCAGGCATCTAACATAAAGGCCTTAAAATGTCTAACTGTATACATGCTCTTGTTAACTAGTGTACATTTATCGGCGGTTGGCTGGGCTACATTTTTTTTCATCGCCATCTCACTTCTGCTGCCAATGGCTGGCGTTCTAAAAACACATCCAGTTTGGCACCGCTTGTGTTTTTTAAAATGTTTTTTCTGTCTTAAATTTAACTCAATGTGGCGTTAAGAAGGTCTGCCAAGTCTTAAATTGACTTCCCGATACCTGCAGATATTCTTCTAACAGCTCTGCGTCTCATGTCTTGGCGAAACAATCTAGATCGGATTCGGGTTCTGGGCTTTGACTGACGTCCATTTGAACAGATGGATGTCAGGGGCGACGTTGTGGTTTCAAGCACCCCGAGGGTCGGGAACAGCGTCGGAAGCTGAGAAACATCTCACAGTGAACCATTTCATCCATAATCTGAAAACGAGAAGCTGCCAAGTTCTGCAACACTATTAATAATCTAGGAATGGCTCAGTCAAAGTCCAATCCGATTAATGCGGCGATAGTTTAAAAGATACACGTTTGCAAATGTTTTCCACCCGATTCGAAATGATTACACTATTTCCCAAAGAAAAAAATGTATTTCGGAAGTGCAAAGTTCAAAGCAAGTAATATTGTTTCAAAAACGTTCAGAAAATATTGATTTTCTCGCCTCTTCATAATCAGGAAGAAAATTTAGTGTGGGGTCTGTCAAATAAAATCCCAATCAAAGTTGTGAAAGGTTTGGTGAGGCTCGGCATATATCATACCAAACCTTTATTTCATTATTTATTAGTAACCTACAGTGTATATTATACTCATTTAAAATAGATGCTCAGTACTTTCTGTCTTTTTTTTTTTTAAGCTGGCTTTTATAAAAATGTCTTCAGTTTTGTTTTGGTAATAAAAAATAAAAACTCCCAACTGATCAGAGAAACAAGACGCAGTTCTAACTTCATAACGCAGCGTTTTGTTTTCCTTTCAGTTTCTATGACAGGAAGTACCAGGTGTTCCTGAAGCTGTTCTCCCACCAGAGGGAGTACCAGGCCCTCATGAAGCGCCGATGAGACGCAGACCGGGGGAACCGCTGCAGACGTCTTCTCCTCGCAGCTCTTATTAATAGGAATAATTTCACCTTTTTTTTCACCTGCTGCTTTTCTTTCATTTCGCCTGAAGAAAACCCACATGCTGAAGGTTTCTGTTCGTCCTCAGATGGCAGCTGTTGCTCAAGTCGCGTCTTATATTTTGCTCGCTTCGTCTCCATGTGCATTCCTAATAAATATTTGCTGATCTTGAAACACGTCTGCGCTCGTTTTTTTTTATCTTTTATTTTTCTGGAGGTCGCAGCTGGGCCGCTGGGCGATGTCCTTCAGATCCAGATCCTCCTCCCGTTCCCGCTCGCTTCGCCCCGGCTGTCCTCGCGCTCCTAAGATCAAAGCCGATAAGCTGACGCCGCCGACCGACCCGCTGAGGAGGAACGTCAAATCCCACACAGCTGACTTAATGCGTCCAGCTTAATGCTTCGAGCAGCTATTCGACCGGGAAGTGACGGGCATTTCTAAGGCCGAAGTTAAGTTGGGGGGAGGAGTATTTAAAACAAATAAAATAGGGTGCGGTAAATTGCTTAATTGCAGCAGAATTATTGATAATTCAAAATTTAAGACCCGTGGTTAAGGACCACCTTGAATTTCACAATGAAATTGTAATATTTCAAACTTTCAAGGATGCAAGTGTGACCTCGGCTACACAAGGACGCCTCAAACTCTATAAAGCACCTTTCAAAATGTAAAACTCACACATTGCTTCACAGTGAACAAGCCGGAAGAGTTCACAATGCATGAAAAAATATATATATACATCTGATTTTAGCTGCCTGTCAGTGGAGACGGGCAGAAAGTTTACCCATCTCAAGTGTGAAGGATGACTTCCAAAGTCTGAAAGCCACAAAATGCTTCTTTTGTTTTTTTAAAAAAATAAATAAATAATAGGGGATTACCAGTTTGAGATGTAGGAAAGACTCTTTACAATCACCCTAATGTTCAACTTCCTACACAGATTGTGAGGTAAGATCAAGGACTCCATAGATAAACCAATAAAAACAAATCACAGTATTTATTTCCAGATCTAAATGTTACTTTAAAAGTAAATCTGCTAGAGTTCTGAATCGTTTGGGGATTGCAGCTGAGCCGACCCGTCACAGCGACGACAACCAAACACGACGGACCAGCGTCACAAAACTTTGCCACTCAGGTTATTAATCAATGAATCAGAAGTGGAAGTGAATCAATGGCAAACATCAGTCATTAACCCAGTTAAGCAGTTTTGAAATCTTTTCACCATAGAGAAAAATACTTGATTGAATTTCATTTGAGCTCGTCTGGTTGTGTTTTTGTTATTCTTTTGTTCAATTTGTTTGTTTGTAGGTGTTTGTTTGTATCCTACTGCAAAATGTAGCAGCGTAATGGGGGATTTAAGGAATGCTTAGCAAGAGTGATGGATGTTGTTTAGGACCAAGGTAGAACCAAACGGACTGCATGGTTTTCATTATTATTTTTCATTGGTTTATTATTATTAGTTCAGACTGGATTCAGTGCCGCTGTCCTCTTTAACACACGCAACAATGTGTAAGGCGAAAGCAACATTTAGTTTCTTTATTCGCTTGTGTCAACTCATCGCAAACAAGTTATGCAAGAGCAACTTTGCTTCTACGCTGAGACGTTTCGTACTCGTCGCATTGATTTGCACGAAAAGCCCGTTACGGAGATGTGGGTAATCCGGGTTCGGCCGGTGGCGGTTCGCGGCCTTTCCCATCCCGTGGATCCGGAGTGTAGCGCAGGTACTTCCTCCCAGACGGCAGTTCCTTCCTGAAGACGCCGATCGGGAACAGAGCGGCGGCCTCCTCCTCGGGCATGTTGGGAGGCACCATCACGCAGCCTCCGGGCTGGACGGAAGAAATGCAACACGTGGGATCAAGGTCTTTCTTCTTCTTTTGTTTTCCTACCTGCGACCTTTTGAGTTATTTTTCAGAGATTTTATGTTACGGAGCAACACAAAGCGGCGCACGTAGCTCAAGTGGTAGGAAAATGAAATGGTAAAAAACTAAAAAGTGTGGCATGCTCAGGCCTTTAATTCGTCTCGATCTGATGTCCGTGAATAAAAATCGACACGCGTCTTAATCAGGGCGGGAGCCAACAAACCACCACATGGAAACATGTTTGTCAATCTGATGAAACATGCTGTGGGAGTGACCTCTATGACCTTAAAGGTCCCACACACCGTCCACTCGGTGGGCGTGGCCACTCGTTTCTGAGCTGTGAGCTGGAGGCTGTCGACCACGCGCAGGACCTCGTCGAAGCTGCGTCCCGTGGTGTCGGGGTAGAGCAGGGACAGCTTCAGCTTTTTGTCAGGCCCAAAGATAAAAACCTGGACAAGACAGAGGAAGTCAGAGTGGAAGGTTAAACAGGTTAAGGATCCTCAACTCAGATTCAGGGATTGGTTTTCGGAGTGAACCGCAACTTCACTTCGAGAACCCCTGACATGTGGTTGAAAGCAACACTCTCACGCAGCGGGCGGTGACCGCCATGCCGTCCTTGTCCCTCTCCACGGGGTCCAGCATGCCCAGAGCGACTGCCACCTCCCGCTTTCTGTCTGCGATGATGGGATAGGGCAACTCGCGGCCCTCAAACTTCTCGCAGTTGTAAGCCAGGATGTCCTAGTCAAAGAGGAAGAGACGCAGGGCCTTGATGAGTGTTTTTAAACCAAAGCAGCTTCCAAGACTCCAGAGCTTGCATACCAGTAGTAGGCACTGCTAGCTAAAAAGTTAGCTGCACTGACCGTAGAGCACTACTCATAAACATTAGTTCCATTAACACTAATGCACGATAAACTTTGGTCTGGACTTTAACTAGGACCCACTAACAAATTAACCTGTCTTGCTCTGAATCAGTGCTTCTCAAACGTTTTCATTCTGACAAGCAATTATCTCATTTAACAAACTCACGGACCACCCTGCCTTCAAGTTGCCCCTGCAGTAACACAACATATTAGTATATGCAACCTGCAATAAAAGTACTAGTCTCTTAACACACTTAATGTTGTCTTCTTTGTTCATCCTAATGAGACGTCCACGACGAAACCTCTGGACATTTTGAGTTATTTATAGATTCTGAAAGTGTGGACTCTTAGCTTTGTTCTCTTCCAGCCAGACATAAAATAAAATGATTATTTGCAGGTGCAGTTAGCCAGCATGGGCGCACCACTGCTCACCGTCTCATCACGGCCATATTGCACTGAGCACCAGGAGCATTGCAGCCTCATGCCGGGCACAAAATGAAATCTGGAGGCCGGTGGCATGTCATAGTGTTCTGAACACAAACGTTCTGCAACTAACCCTGAGAAACTGAAAAGTATAACATGACTTTATTTTTCTATCCACCGGTAACTTTAGCTTTTCTTTAGGGTGACCTTGTCTTAAGCTACTTATCCATTATTATTTTCAGTCACTATCCTTTGGTAATCTATCTGTATGCGTTGTCACACTTTATGCTCTCGTCACGTCAAGTACTGTTGATGTGACACGACGAGACGGAGGAAGTTTCGAGATCTTTCACGAGGCTCTGCGCGTCACCTTGCTCCAGCCCTGGTGATCCTCCAGGCTGTCGATGGACAGAGCGATCAGCTTGACGTCGCGTTTGCTGAACTCGCCGCTCAGCCTGGCGACTCGAGCCAGCTCCGTGGTGCACACAGGGGTGTAATCTCTGGAATGCGAGAACAAGATACCCCACCTGTAGAAGAAGATAGACATTTTAGAGACCAGTAGGGTCGGGGGGTTTAAGATGAGTACTAAAGTAGGGTGAAGTAAGAACGATAACAATCTGACATTTGAACGGCAGGATGTGACCTGATTTTCACTGAGGTCGAGGTTTTATACACATGTTCTTTCATCTCACCGACAAGCTAATTTTACAGGTTGAGATAAATGATCGCTATTATTTTTGAAACACACCCAATAATCATCAGTCTTCGTCTCCACCAAGAATCTTCTTGCGCAGCCTCTACTCTTTCTGTTTCTGTGATGTTTTAGTTTTCTGCCTATGGAGAGACATTCAGTCCGCAACCGGATTTTGCTCGGCTCAAATTTAGGTCCAGTACGGGCGCTACTCGATATTGCCTCAGAAATGTATAAACCCACGATCAAAGCAAATGAGGGCAAACCCCAAACATGACACAAGAGACTGATAGGGTCACACAAAACTGAGTTACTTAGTTGGTGAAGGTGGAAGTTCTTTTAAACTTTGAAGCACTGATTGACCAAATTCTCCATAAAGAGGCTCTGCCTTCTGTTTTGCAATAATTAAATGAGAGCGTGTGCTAAATGATGGCTTTTTGTTGATGGGTTGTGTTGCTGAGAAGGAACAGGATGTGGTCTGGCTTGCAGATGAATTTTTGATCTGATGACACAGGACTTTTTTCTTTCCCAATAAGTCAGAGGTGTGATTGTGTGAAGCATCTTTGATATGACTCAGACAAACCTGACATATTTTAGCTTATTGTTGCTGTCAATCTGACAGACAGGATCCAATTGTACGTATAGCTTTATACAGATAAAGAGTTGGCACAGGTCCACTGTTGAACCAGCAGACCTCAGACACACACAAAGCAGAAATCAGAAAGCTTTTCACATGTGGTAAAGCTTTCACACACTCAAAAATCTACAGATCTTTACTTACGAATCGCCGAAATATTCGTGGAGCTTCATCGTCCCAGCAGTGGTGTCCACCTCGAAATTAGGAAGCTGGTCTCCAAGCAGCAGCCCTGGCATGGTGGATGTGGTCGTGGGTCGGCCTGCGAGAGACGGCTTCAAACAGAGAGAAGGCGGAAAGTTTTCTCTGAGCCACAGTGCAAACAGCCTGGGGGGTGGCCTGGTGGGTGGGACCAGAAAGATGATGTGACCATGATGGTGTGTTCAAGTCACCAGAAACCACAAGGCTGCTCAAACCACAGCTTTTCCTTCTGTCTCTCTGAGAAATGTTGAGTCTTACCAGACCTTTATGCTGAAATGTGAGATAACAATAAAGAGCAAGATAAGCAAACTGAGGACAGGGGACAAAGAGAGGTATTAGTTTTTATAGGACGCCATTTTGAACTACCCACTATAAACCAATAAAGTCCATATTCTCCGATCTACAAGGAGCCAGCGTTTGTGGGACTTGCTCTTTCAGATTGTCTGTCCCACGATGCTGCAACTCCCAGTAGTCGGAGGCTCTTGGCGCAGCATATTTTTTAATGGCTTACAACGTGAACAAACTTTGTGATTTTAAGCGCATTTCTTATTTGATGAAAACACCGCAATTGCGGAATTGTTTTGTTTTTCTGACATTAGCGTAAAAAATTACCAAATTTTGCATTTGTGACGGAAACACACACCGACATTAACCCATTCTCGACATCTAACTTCGACATGGGTTGGTCTGTAGCTGCGTTTCCATTGGCCATATAATTACACAACTTGGAGTTACCAAAATAATTTTGCGTAAAAGAAACACTCTTAACGTCTGAAAAGAATTTATATTTGCTCGGATGAACTGGCTTTTTGGCTGTATTGAAGTTCGCAAAACTGCAATGGAAACAAACTTTTTTTAAGCCTTGTAGTCAAGCGGATGTTACTACTGATGGAAAATACAAAAAAAAGATGGCAGGAAGTGGTAAGAGGATGATGAGGATGTTTTTAATGACTCACCACATGAAGATACTTGTTCAGGTGTGAGTTTTAATTGTTTCTGATTTTATGGAAACACAGGGATTGCAATTTTTTTTTTTTTCGACATTAGCGGGATATTGACAATCTCTTCCCACATTTGCAATGGGGAAGCAGCTCATGTTTGACCCCATAGAGTAGGTAAAATAAAATCTTTTTTTTCTCTTGATAGTTTTATGTGTGGCAGATAATAATTTCACCTCGTTTCTTTCATGAAAATCTGAGCCCTGGTTTTCTCAGAGGACCCTTGACTCCACATATTTCTGCAGGGTTATGGAAATGTCAATGAGAATAAAGACAAATTGTTCTCCACCGGTGTGTGTTTGTGAGATCTGGCAGTGCTGCGAGCCCACGTGATCGGAGGGTCCGGTTCTAAACTGGTGCCAGATTAACCCGTGTTTGGATTGGACCCGTTCGCGGGATGGTTTGCGTCTGAGCGCAGCGGGGGACCCAGAGAGCCGCGCGGATCGCCGCGGCCCCACACACTCCCGTCAGAGGAAGCGATGTCCTCCCCGGGGAGCCGACGGAACAGCTGCCGAGGAGCCGCGGCCGGAGGCAGAGCGTCGTCGGACCCGGTCCCCGCCGGGCGCCGCCGGGCCTCCTCCGGCTGCCCTTACTTCTCCCCCGGCGCGCAGGCCGAGGACTTCTCCGTCAGCCTGAGCCAGCCCATGCTCGCCATCACGCTGCGGTTCCTGCTGGCGGTGGACCTGTGGCTGTCCAAGAAGCTCGGGGTGTGCGCGTGCGAGGAGTCGCCGTGGGGAGGCATCCGGCCCCTGGTGCGGCTGGTGGAGCTGTCCGGGCACGTCGTCCCGTGGCTCGTCGGCGCCCTGTACTCTCTGCTCCGCGGGGGGAGCGAGGCGGAGCAGGAGCTCATGCTGAATTTGACCCTGGGTGAGGAAAAGTGTTGGACTCCTTTTTCCATTTCGAAGCAAATCATTTTCCTCTCACCGAGCCATTTCAACACCTCTAACCATTTTTGACTCAACAGGTTCGTCTGTTGTTTTGCCACCAAATTTGATAGCGGACGCGTGTGCGCTTTTACGCACAAACGTTCCAATACTCGGCAAGACCTTTGGCAGTCATTGTCGCGCTCTGCTGTTGTCTGGCCTAAGCTGTGCAATGATAATGGCTGTTGAAATATCGCAATGGGCTAAATCAGTCCCACTGTTATGGGTCACATAATATACAGTGCGAAGAGGAACGTGGAGCCCCGACCAACAAGCGAGAAAGAGTTTGGATTGTGTGTGGCAGTCCATACACTATTTGTTTGTTGATTGACTGCGTTAAACCCTTAACAGTTGTCTTGCGCTTTAATGAAATACCGCAGCTATTCTGGGAACACAGGGGCCAAATTCATATGACATGTTTGATTGTTAATGTCAGACATACGTCAGAGGCCTGTGCACTAATAATAATAATAATAATAATAATAATAATAACAATAACAACAATAACAATAATAATAATAATACTAATAAACAACTCCAGGCTCCATACAGCAGTAAACGTGAATGATCGTTTGGGTTCATATTGAAAATACTTCATATTTGTTTCAATGTTCAGAATTGACATTGTGAACAATAATAATAAATAATTACAACCTACTCTTTGTCAAAATAAGTCAATAGCTTTAAACCATAAAAAAATATATATGATAGTTTCAATTTCAAAAATATATTTAAAATTATTTTCTGGTCCAAATTACATTCGTAATGTTTAATTTTTGTAATAGAAAGAAAACAAAAAAAGAAAAAAGTGCTTTGCAAAATTATGTCCATATTAGAAAAGAAATATAATTAATATACTAAAAAGAAACAGTCACTTGCTCTCGTGTCCCCAGTGTTTAACTCACCAGAACCATTTCCGTCGTTGACAAAAAATAAATAAGAATAAATAAAGTCATTGAGAAGAAATAAAGAATAAATAAAAGTTGCACCTGGAAAAAAATTAACCTTTGTCTGCTAAGAGCCTTGCTGCATCTTTCTGTCTGGTAATTGGAAGCATTTTATGTGAAGCAGTTTTAGTTTATGCCCATTTGCACCAAATGGCGCCGGTTGCCCTGTTAAACCCGTCAGCTGGTTATCGCCACAGCAACGGCAGTTTCCTGTTGTAAATATTTGATTAATTAACGCTTTGGATCAAAATGTTCTAAACAAATAGTAGATAAAGGGCTCATGTGTGTTTCACTCTAGTGGGCCACTGATTTTTTTTTCTTTTTCCATCAGGAAGAAGAGGGTCAAGTTTACTTAGTTGCTCTTGATGAGAACAATTGAAAAAAAAAGCTGATTCTTTCACATCTGCTAATCAGAAACGGTCAATGAGAATTTGAAGAAGTAGCCACATTCCTGATAAATGATGCTTCTGGCTGGCTCTGATGTTAACATCACTGTAACCTTTTTGTCTCACGGCTCGTTAGATGTCCCTTGATGTTTCACTCGAGTCTCACTAAACGTACCGCAGACATTGTGCGTCCGTTTAAAATCACAAGAAATGAAGGCTTGAAATATTTCCCTACATGTAGCAAATCTATATAATTTTCACTCTCAAAAATGAGTTTGAAATATATTGAACTTTTTTTTTTTAGACGCATTTCTTCTTCCTCTGCTCCTGATCTAATATGTGTTTACGTTTGTGTACGATGCCTGCTGATCGAGGGCTGCATGGCCGCTGTTGGCACGCACAGTCCATGCACTGGTGACTCATCTGGCCGATGTCTCTGCTGACTATCCTCACTAAACATCTCAAGGTCATTGCATAGACAAATTGGTTTGTTTGCCAGAAGTGATAAGAACAATATGCAGTTTTTTTTTTTTAAAAAAAGAACATACTCAGAAAGAACTTCACTGTAGAACTCTTGCTAAATTCTCTTGATAAATATCCTGCTGTGTGGTTTGTGTGTGATGGTTCTGAGACGTCGCGCGAGAAAAGAAAAGCTCTTTCTGGATGATGCGTCAAGAACAATCCAAGAGCTGCTTTTCTCTGTTCTTGTGCAGCAGTGGTGTTTCAGTTTAGACCTCCATCGTTGTGTTGAGTCTGCTGTTAAGTCGAAAATGTTTCCGTCGAGTCCTTTGGGTTTCTGTCCAGTCCCCCTCGTTTTCATTGAGTCCTCTTGGTTTCCACTGAATCGGCTGTATTTCTGTTGAGTCCTCTTTGTTTCCATTGAGCCCTTTGTGTTTTTGTTAAGTTCCCCAAATTTCTGTTGAGTTCTCAGTGGCTTTCTTGAGTCTTCTGTGCTTCTTAAGAGTCCACTATGTTTCTGGTGCATCTACTGACTTGAGTAGATGCGCCAGTGAATCTTGAGCAGAATCTCAAGATTGAACAGAAGCTCCTGTATTTACAGTTTGCAGTGAGTCCACTTCCTCTTTGTGATTCTACTGGTTTACCTTGTGTACTTACTGTAGAAACAGCCAAAGTTTGGACTCATATGACTCAGGGCAGACATTCTGTACAAAGATTTTGATCACTACCCTTTGCTGGTGATGTCCAAAATATCTGTGGCAGGCAGGCCTGTCTGGTCATAGCCTATAGCTGTTTCCTGACACGTCTACTTACACTGTTGAAATGAAGAGCAGGCACAGAATACAGGACTTCATGTAAACCTAAAAGAAACCGAAAGACTTTATTAATATCTTTTGGCTAGCCTTTCATGTGTAATCCAAAGTATTTTTTTATGCCTCTCTCCAACTTCACAGCTCTGATTTTGGACCTGCTGCTGGTCAGAGCCGTGAAGACGCTGGTGAGACGACGAACGCCCATCCAGAACCGCTCTGACATCCTCTCAGCCTTCTTCACGGAGCGCTACTCCTTCCCGTCGGGCCACGCCTCGAGGGCCACTATGTGCGCCCGCTTCTTCCTCGCCCAGGTGGCAGACACGGCCTCCATGAGGGTCCTGGTGGTGAGCTGGGCGGTCCTGGTGAGCTTATCTCGGCTGCTGCTCGCCAGGCACTATGTGACGGATGTGGGCGTTGGCTTGGCCATGGGTTACTGCCAGTACAGCATGGTGGAGAGGCTGTGGGTGACTTGGGACTCTCTGCAGGACTTGCTTTTCATTCGACTGAGGGAAAGTCTGGACAGGGCGTATGAGGGACTGTGCATGATAGAGT